TATATATATATATATAAAGTAGGAATAATAGATATAAAATGAGTTAGTAATGTAACCTGGAAAACAAAATAAATATAACATGATACTACTACGTAGTATCAGTTAATATGCATTGACAGTTTAACAATCTTTATATACTGTGTGTATACAAATTAAATCTGTAGAAATATACCAAAATGACAAAAATCAACCTAAAAAGATACGCATATAACTTTCCTGTGGATATTGTGGGCTCAGATAAAGTATTTGAAAGAAAGACCCTTTACTAGGAAACTTAGTGCTAAAGCTAATTCTATATGTATATTATTAGGAAAAAAATTGTTTAATTTGGTGTCAAGGAAACTTTAGAGTAATAGTAAAGTTGTCTTTGTATAATTTATATATCACGAGTTTGAGCCGTAAAAGCATCCACTAATGCTTGTATTAGGGTAGGCTGTCTACATCTCACCTCTTGAATATAGCCCTTATCACGGATTTGACCGATTCCGTCGGAAATTTCCGACTACTTTTTTCCGTCGGAATATTTCGGTCGGGAATAAGCCGTTTTTTAGTAGTGTGAACCCTACGTGAACAGGAAATACTTTGTATCGGCCTTTATTTTTTTTTGTGTCAATGGCAAAGGGCCTATGGCCATATAGGAGTAGAAATTTAATTTTCTTCACATGGGTGTATTATTTTATTTTTGTTTTAGCAAAAGGGGAAATAATAAGAAGATGAAAAGAGTAGAAAAAGATAAAATGAAGCTATAAATAAGACATACAAAAAGATAGCTTTCTGTTTCTCAGTCTCACTTTTTCTTTCTTTTGCATGCATGGCCTCCACTGATGAAAAAATATTCTTTTGAAAATTGGCAATATTTGTGTTATATAACAGGGAAAGTTGGCAGTTGCATGGCAATAAAAAAGGAGATTATCCAGGAAACATATCTTATCTAGAGGTACTGTTATTATTATTATTCTAGTTTGCAAACTGTACATTGTCAATATATCAAAATTAAACTTAGAAACATTTAAGTACTATGCATTGAATAATATACAAAAGTTATTTACACAATCTTATAAAGGTAAGTACTAGTACTAAATATCTATGATAAGCATTAATGGATGACTTGGTAAAATTAGTAATTAACTTGTTATCACATGTTAAACTAATGATGATGTAAAATAATCTTTAAATTGTCGGTCATTATATATAACTTAAATTCTTTAATGAATAATCAAAATTATTTCTTTCCTTATTTTCCTTTTGATGAACTTGTTAATTTCGTGGAAAAGATCAAGCTTATGAAACTATAGATGCATATTTAATTTTATGCCCCTAATGCATGGTTAGGGTATAATATTTTTCTCATATGTCCAAGTATTGGTGGATAAATTTATTCGATACCTGTGATAGTGAAAATTAACAGATACCTCATGAAATTAGTCGAGGTGCACGCAAGCTGACCCGAACACTACAATTACCAAAAAAATATTTTAATTCTTGGGTAGAAGTACGTATACGGTATACACATGCAGTGCATCAGTAACAGGGATGCAGGGTTCATCATTGTTACATATATTCCTCAAAATATAAATCTGTCCTTTTTGATTCCTTTATTCACACACACTTCTCTTGTTTCTACTTATTATTATTCTTTCTTAGTACTAATTCATTTTTTTTCTTTTTTGAAAAAAAAAAAATTATACAGCAGAAAGACAATATGGAAGCAAAATGCTTAAGCTATGAGGGAATATCAACAGAAGTGAGCTCATCAACTATAACAGAAGCAAGTCCAAAGAAGCCTAATTTGGAGTTTACTTTGGGAATAATGCCTAATATTTCATAGTACTACTCATTTTGAAATCATTATATACTTTTTGACTACGAGAAATAGTAAAAACACAAAAAAAAAGGAAGAAGAGAGAATCAGGTTCCCACTGAGATAAAAATAATAATAATATAGGAAAGAAAAAGAAAAGGAAAAAGTGAGCTAAAGAAAGACAAAGAGACAAAGAAAAGGAGAAGGGAATAGGAAAAGTGCATGTAATTATTCCCATTTTAATATTCTTTGTGACCTATAAATCAAACAATATATTAAATTGTTCCTTTCTTTCCCTACAAATGAGGAAAAACAAAGAAAGTAAATTTGAATCTAATTGATTTTAATATTGTTATAGTAGTAAGAGATTATAGTTACTATATAGAGAGTTGAGAGAGGAAGAAGTAAATCTCTTTCCCTTGTTACAATTGTATGATCATTTACATTTACCAAGAAATATAATATCTCCGACTCATATTATCTGTTTTTTAAAGATTTTCGAAAGTTTTTTTTTAAAAAAAGATATGTAATAGTCTTTATCATAAGCATATGTGTTTAAATTACTGTTATCTCTCCTTAAGTATGGTGGATCCAGGATTTAATACTAATGGGTTCCTAATGATCTCAAGTAAATTTTAAATAGTAAATGGATTCACATTCAAATATTTATAGATATTTAGTAAAAATTTTTAACACATTTATACTGTTTGGACAAAATCTATTAGGTTTACGTCAACCCGCAAGTGGGGAGGTAGATCCGCCCCTGAGTATTTCACTTAATTAACAATTTACTAATTGTATTAAAATAATAAAGGTAAATTTGGATAACAAGTAACAAATGGTTTTTTCTTCTTTTAAAACCTTGAATATTTTATGTTTTATATGAAGGAAAACATAAAATATTTTGCAGAAAATAAGTTATTTTATGGCTATCAAACATTAAAAATATTTTAAATATTTCTATTTAAAAGGGGAAAATATTTTTCATCTCTTATGTTTTTTCTGATAGTCCATTTGAAATAATTTTATATTTAGAGAGTATTTAATAGTAAACTAATGTTTCTTGAGAGAGTATAATTTTTGGGAGGATTGACTATTTAATTTTTTGGGAGAATATAATTGTTTGGAGGAATATCTATTTATTCCCAGGCATTGTCACATGCTTTACACTATTCCAACAAAGGAATTGGACAGAAAGGAAAGGAAAAGATAACAAGAATTATTGATAAAAGAACTGAAAGAATGCAGGCATAGAAAATGAAAAATAACAAGAAGAAAAAGACAAGAAAAGTAAAGGCTAATTTTTCTATGATTGTGTCGGACCAGTTTAAGCACACCTCGACTAATTTTCAAAATATTCTCGATTAATTCCATCGAATATGTCGATTTTCCAAAATATTCTCATACTTTTCGTTAATTTAACAAGAATTTTCAAATTTCTTCATTTTTCCATTTTTTAATTGATGTAAATAGACAATATATGGTTAAAAATGAGTTGAATTACTTGAATATAATGTCCTTTTAAAACCCCCCAAAGTAAATATACTTTTTTTTTTTGCTTTCCACCGTTTTTAAAAAGTTTCTGCGGTTATATCTTATTTTCTTTCCCCAATCACTACCTTCCCCTTCATATAATTATCCTTTTAATATTGTTAAAATTTCTTCAACAACTGTTTAAAGGCAGACATATCGATCGATTTTTTTTTCCACCGTGTTTCGTATCGGCCTGGATTAATCCGAATTAGCGTCGTGTAATATCCATTAAAAGCAGCAGTATTCTGTACTGAAATTTTTTTAATTCTCATCGCTCGATCCGACATTACTAGAAATTCGGAAAAAGATCGGTCAAAAAATCGACCAAAAAACCGAACAAAGTCTTTTCAAAATATTTTATTTTTAATTTTTTTTACGAAACCGATCAACTTTGGTCGATTTTCTTTGACGCAAAAATGCGGGAAACTATTTTTGAGTCCCGCAAAATTTATTTTTCAAGAAACCGATTAACTTTAATTTGGTCTGTTTTTTATTTAAAATAAATTAAATTAATATTAAAAAATCAACCTAACTCGGTCGGTTAATTCAGCCGATCATTTTAAAAAACCGACCGAATGCGGTCGGTAATTTTATTTTTTAATAAAACCGACTGATATTGGTCGGTTGTTTTCGTACGAAAATACAATTAAAGAGTATAAATGAAATAAAAGACAGTCTTAAAACAAAATGCACCAATGGTTTAGTGGTAGAATAGTATCCTGCCATAGTACAGACCCAGGTTTTTTCGGTATTTTTTTGAATTTAATTGACCGACCAAAGTTGGCCGGTAATTTCCAACCAGCTTTGGTCGGTATGCTCTTCTGACCTTCAAAATACCGACCACACATTAATGGTCGCGTTTTGGACGATTATTGGCCATTACCGACCTACTTTGGTCGATTTTTTGGATGGTTTTTCCCGAATTTATAGTAGTGCGAGACCTGTAATCGATAATAAAGAGATCATATTCTTTCCACTATAATCTTTGGTGTTCTCGTCGATTTTAAATATCATTCAATACTCTCACCACAGTTTTGAGAAATTATATTACATTTCTTTCTTTTTTTTCTTAATTTCTTCTACACACTAATTAGATTTAGTTTTAGACAAAAAAGGACTTGCCCTTTGGATGAGAAATTGCCTTTAAATAAAGAGTTGAAATTACTTTTAGACTTTCATCTTTGGAAAGGCAAAAGTGCTAAAACGTGTGGAATATAAATCACTTTACTATTTTCTTTTTATCTATAGTAATAAAACATGAGATAATAAAGCATTGAAATGGATGGGTATAGAAAACGACATAAAAAAAAGAAAAAGAAAATAAGTATAGGTAGGGTTTATAGCATTTAGGAATATGAAATAATTCTTCCTTTTTATTCCATTTGTTCAAAGATTTCATAAAGGCTAATATATACCCCACCTAAAGCTACCTTGACCTTAAGATGGAAAGTTAATAGAATGATTGATCTTATATAACTCAATTATTAGAGATCTTTTATTTTTATTTCCTTTTTATCATAGTAATTACACTTTTTTTTGTGTTATTAAACTAACCTTTATTTGATCCTTATGAACAAAAAGTAATTAAAAAATAGGACATTTCTCTGTAATACTCAATTTTGTGTTGCACATTATCTGGAATTAGGGGATCACTAGAATGTTATATTAGGTAAATTCAAAAAATTGAATGGAAAAACTTACCTACAATGAATGTTTATATATATATATATATATATATATATATTTCTAGTCTGTATTTGTCACTTTTCACACACGAAAATTAAGATGGTACTAATTTTGTTTTCAAATTCCACATTACCACTCAAAAAAAGTCATATATATATAGAGAGAGAATTCAAGGTTTTTCAGGATTTAGGATTCCGGGTTCAGAGGTTTAGGATTCTGGGTTTCGGGGTTCAGGGTTTCAGGATGACGAGATAAGAATACTTTAATCAAAACCTAGCTATTATAACTAATTCTGTTAAATAATTCTTTTAAGAGTGTACTAAAGTTTAAAACGGCAGGTTAAAAATTGGTAGGGAGTAGTAGTAATTAAGTAAACGCATTATATCATTTCCAAGGCATCGAGTCTATCAGAGGCGGATCCAGGATTTAAATTTTATGGGTTTAACTATAAAGTTTTTAGCATTGAACCTATTATATTTTTAAAGTTATGAGTTCATATCTATTATTTTTATAATGTTAAGGAATTTTTACGTATAAATTTTTACTTCGCGTCAAAAATTATAAGTTCAATTGAACCCGTTATTAACCCTCTCATCCGCCCCTGGAGTCTATCACTGATACACTTTCAATGACACTGGGCTATGGTCACATAGACTGGCCACCNGGCATTGACACAAGAAAACCCTTGCAGTACAAAGTAAATGTTGGGCTAACCTAACGTAATGATATTGTCCGCTTTGACTCAAGCTCACAACGACTTTTCCATAAAGATATTACACCAGTAAAGATCCTTGCACCTTATATATAGGTTCTTAATCTTTTCAGCTACTCTGAAACTTTGTTTGTACACCCAACAATATATATTATTTTTTTCTTATTTTCAATCATGTGACTGTACTTTCTTTTAGGCCCTAATAACTTTGAATTCGCGTTGCATATCGTCGATTAAAGGAGGAAGCACTATGTATAAGAATTTTTTCCTCTAATCGGAGATTAGCGGTCGAGCAAGGGGTACTCCTTTGTTGAAAAATTATATCGTGTGTTGAATTCATTTAGCTTTATCGTTTGTTTATTTTTATTTTATTTCTTATTGATAAAAGTTTTGCCTCCATAAGTGCTCGAGATCTATGATTAAGAGTGGAGGATCCAATTCATCCCATCGCAATCCGTAATGGTATAAGATCGAAAAGGCCAAGAAAGTCAAATTATTAAAGCATCATTACACTATCATTCATTTAATTCCTTACTCATTCTCGGTCCACGAACTAATGTATAAATACTTGTCATAATCTCACTGGTTTCTTCGATGTTGACCTTCTTAAATGGAGTTTCACAGTTATACATGTAGAGTTGGAGGCTCGGAGCTCGAGCCTGTCTTTTTTTCTATTTTTTAAACAAAATGTTTGTTCTTCTTTATTTTGCCTTGGTTTTTAAATATTCTTGTCAAAACAAGCTTCGTTTTTGTTTCGAAAACCGAACCGGATACAACAATAACAAAAAAAAAATAGTGTAATTTCACTAAGTTGAGTCTTGAGAGGCTGTGTGTTCGCGGATTTTGTTCTTACCTTGTGAAGGTATAGATATTATTTCCAATAAATCTAGGCTCGAGGAAAGATAAAAAGGAAGCGGTAATGAGTTAAAAAGTATTGTAGCTAATGAGGATGGAACCAATGATCTTATCAAAGTTTTGAACCTCCTTGACCACTAAACTATACTTTTGGGTTGTGTCATGGGGATTCAAAACATAATATAGAAGTAAAAACAGATTTTGTCTTATATATATAGTGTAACTTTTCGGCGAATGGGGTTCGGATGAACCCCCATCCGCCCGCCTAAATCTACCCATGGCAGTAATAATAACATCAAGAAAAGATGATAAAAACATAAGCGAAAGAGATGCGCTCGACTACCTATTAACCTTGTTCCCTAATTCTCGAGCTTCACACCCTCATATCCAGGATCATGTCCTCGGTAAACTGAAGTTGCATCATGTCCTGCTCACCTCTCCCCCATAATTCTTAGGTCTACCTCTACCTCTTCTAACTCCTAAGACCCACCAAGGTCAACTATTCACACCTCCTCACTAGGCATCTGTGCATCTTCTTTTCACATGCGCGTACCATCTTAGCCTCGATTCCCGCATCCTGTCCACCGTAGAGGTTACTCCCACCTTGTTATGAATATCTACATTTTAATCTTATCTTTCCTGGTACGCCTCCACATTCATCTTAGCATTCTTATTTCTGCTACTTTAATCTTATGGGCATGGGAGTTCTTGACATGCCAGCATACTGCCCCATGCAACATAGTCGGGCTAACTACCACTTTGTAAAACTTACTTTTAAATCCTAGTGGTACATTCTTATCACACAACACACTGGATACGAGTCTTCATTTCATCCAACCTGCTCCATTTCTCTCAACGGAGTCCTAAAATCGAATCTTCTAAAACTAAAACCATGCACTCACAAAAAAATGAACAAAATAAGACTAAAATTGGGTGTTTTCCCTAAAAATTGGATAACAATTAAATTTATAATATGGTTTTAAGAACACGTTATTTCACCTAACACCAATTGATAAATGTGAAGATTAATGATAGAAATTGACAATAGGCTAAAGCAAACCAGCGTTTGAATAGAATTCAGCCCTCGAGCTTGAATACCCTCGAGCTGATTAGTGCAAGAACAGTTTAAAATATAACAAGCTGATAAACAAGAATATAAGCAAAAGAAAATGTTATATTGCTTTGATATGCCAGAATGTCTCTTACATATGATTAGGACCCCTCTTTATATAGTAGAGGAATCATAATTATGGTATAACTCTAATTACAGAAGGAAATCCCATGATTAGCTAATTAACCGTCCTTGATTTGATCCGTTCCGAGATTTCTACCATGATCTTCGACCAGTCACGGATATCTCGCCTTTCTGTTATTACGCTACCTTCGATGCTGATCGATGTATATCTCATTTAGTCTCAATCACTACCGGCCTCGATCTTGTTAGGTACCTCGAATCCCGAACTCGACACTTTATCCTCGTGCCTCGATCTGATCTATTACGGGATCGATTTTCAATCCTTTACACTGGTCCCGATAAATCAATAAAATTGGGTGGCCCCGATTTTAACCGTATACAGATAGTCCCCTCATTTTTGGAGTGTAATGACAAGAAATGAATTGGGCCTTCAATCCTAGACCCGTCATGACGTCACTCTCGTAACGTAAGTGACAGATGTGATCGAAACGTCCCATCGGTGCAGTTACCTAGGCATTTAATGCATGCCAGTTGATGGTCGGCCATTAGTGGTTTCGAACCATCGTCGTGAAACCCATAAATAGGCCTTTTCTCATTGATTCAAACTTTACCTTCAATTTCTTCTAATCTTTAAAGCCTTTTACATCTTTTAAGTTTTCCCGTTCTACAAAATCTTATGGTTTGTTGTCAACCTTCTCTTAAAACGCCAAGTCTTATTTTCTTCTTTTTTATTCAAACTCAAATCCAAAATGGTGAAAACGTCAAAATCTATGCCATAGAAAGAAAAAGCTTCCTCGTCTAGGCCGGCCGGCGAACAACCAGCGGCGGAGCCGCTGCTCCCTGAAGAATTCTTTCCTCCGTCGTGTGTCCTTGACTCCGATTTTAGAGTTGAAAAGACCTCCTCGGTTCCGGGCCGATGTGAGCCAACGTCGAGGTAAATATGCACAATTACCAATGGACTTTTAAAATAAGTTAAAAATGACTGCAACTGGGTAGACAAGCACGTGGTGGTGCCCTCGCCTGAAGAGTCAATCACTATGCATGTGTAGTTTTTTTTGAATGTTTACACCTACCCTTTCACATTCAGTCATCTAGATCCAATCATTGTGGACTTCTGCAAGAAGTACGAGGTCACCCTCGGCTAGATTCATCCTTCTTTTTGGAGGATAGTGACATTGCTTCGATTTTTTGTGAGCAAAGTCGAGGGGTTTCCCCTCACCCTTGGCCATCTCATTCGTCTGTATAGCCCCCGACTTTTTCGAGGTGGGCTAATAATGCTTCAACATAGGTCTTCGAATACGGTCTTCTCGAGCACGGATGAGGATAGAGAGCGGGGGTGGATGGGCTGATTTTTTCGAGTGAAGGCCTCGGACCTGATCCCGACCGAGAGCATGCCATTTTAAGAGATATGGAATATGAAACGTGAGTATGATTCCACCTTTTAACTTCCAGTTATTATATTTACTTTTTTCATCCTTTCTTACCGGTGTTTTACTAGGTGAAACTGTTGTCTGGATGTCGGGTATGATTCCCCACCTAGAGAACTGTGTCAGGAGCTTGGTATCAACGTCCACACATGCTGAGCGCGTATGGTGCAAATTGTCGAAGGGTCGATGGGAGTCCCGAAGCAATGGTAATTTTCTGTATATCTCGATAACCTTGATCGTTGTCTAAATTTCACCTCATACTTCTTTTTTCTTTGCAGGTCTCGGGAAGGATGTGTCGATGAGGGCTTCGCCCAGTGATGAATAAAACCCACCCCCAGTCGAATTTGGCAAAGAAGAGCAAGACGAAAAGGGCCTCTTCCCCCGAAGGGTTAGAGCCTAAGAAAAAGGTAGCTCGAAAGACCAAGAAGAAAGTGATCGCTCTATCCATGGTGTCGGTTCGATTCCTAAGAAAGTAAGAAGAAGTAGAAGAAGATGATTCCGGTTTGGTGGTTCGTGTGAGCACGTGATTTTTGCCTTATATATGAATAATTTCCAAAAAATTCCAACAAAATAATTTTTCTTTATTTTTACAATTTTTCGTGCATTTTGATATCATTTTCTGATAATGGTTGCATTTTATATTTGCATGCTAATTCATAAAAAAATACAAAAATATGCATTTGCATTTAGGATTCAACTCCACATTTTAGGATCAATTAGAAAATTAGTTATTTTATAAAAAAAAATGAGAAAAATCACAAAATAGTTTATTTTTTGCACTTTTAAATTTAATTTCAAATTCTGACAGGTTTTCTTTAATTTAATATTTAATTAGTTGTGGTAATTATTATTTTTAATAGTTAATTTAATTTGGTGGGACAATTTAATTAGGGATTAAGTTAGGTTTTTTTTTATTTTATTTCAATTTAGCGAAATCTGAAAATACAAAAAAAAAAAAAGAGAAAAGAAAAAAAAAAGAAAAGAACATGAAGGGAAATTGGTCTTTGGACCACCTTAATTCAAGAGCTCCCTAGCCCAATGCCTAACTCACCACCTCCCTGGCCCAAACGTTTCCCCTTTCGAAACCCGCGTAAACTCGGCCCACACCCGCCTGACCCGACCTGTCCATATACACACGCAAAATACAATCAGATCCCCAGACCCCTAATCCCAGTCGCGACTGTTCTTCTTCTCCCAAAGAACATCCGAACCAAGCCCCAAAATCGTCAAAATTCACGCGAGTGAGCATCAAGACCTAACCCACGCGTCCCTCTATCTATCCTCTTGCTGTTGCTAACGGATTTTCTGATGCCAAGATTCGTTTTTGTTCACTCGCTCGATTTTGAGAGAAGGCACACGATTGGAAGGTCCTAGAGACGATTCGTTGGATGAATGTGAGGCATTGGATTGATTTCGTTCAATCCGAGCCCTACATTCATCAGGGGTTCGTTTCATAAAAGGACTCAATCCGATTTTTTTGAGGGGAGAAGATTTTTGGGGGAAGAAGATTTTTTGGGGGGATAGATTTTCAGAGAGTAAATTGTGACTTCTTCTTCTTTGTTTTTCTGGAATTTCTAAAAAATACAAAAGCAAAGAGTTTCAGTTTGTTTGTTTTTTTTCGATCCTTGAATTTCATTCTTCGATTATCTGGTTCTGATGTGGAATTCGATTGAGCGGAGGCTGTTTTGAGTTCATTGTCATTGTTGTTCGTCGTGGATTCTAGTCGAGGTATCCTGGTCTTCATTGATTCATTTGGTTTTGGTTCTGAAATCCTTTGTGGTGGATTCATTTGGTTTTGGTTCGAGTGATTCGCTGTAATCGCCAAACTTTGTTAATTGAAGAGCTGATTTCAGGTACTAGTTTCATTTTCGAAATTAAGTGATGTCGAATAACCCTGTGCAATGAGGTGAATGAAGTCTGCATATGTCCCTGAATACTTCCTTGTTACTATGATGAAATCTTCGCTCTCTTTTCTTCCTCCCTATTCTTTCCATTTGTTATGATCGACTGGATTTCATATCTATTTTTCTATTTCTTTTAACATCAGTTGGAATGCTTAAGAATTTATCTGAAGTATTTGATTTAGCCATTGCTTAAACATGCTGTTTAGAATAGCAGGGCCAAAATAAGTATGAAAATCGATCGTGTGTTTTAGGAATACGTGTTGTATATCGTTTGTTTCCTTTCGTTGCAAAACATCTGCTCCCATGAGATTGTCTGGAAGAACATGAGTTGCTGCTTGGTTGCCTGTTGTTAGCATTCTCTTAGTTTACTGGTAGTAGCATAATGTTGGAATCTAGATTAGACAACATCTTCGTTTCTTTTCAGTAGTGGCATCGATAGTGAAACTCGTGTGATTTATGTCCTGAAGCTGTTTTGATTTAGTTGTAACTGCTGCTCTGTTTCAGTCCGTGTAATTGCCTCGATTTGATTAATCAGAAAACTCTAACTTCAGGCATATCTCATTCTTCTTTTTAATATCACTGATTCTCCATGTGTGGTGAGAGCTGTTCGAATTTGGTAGTTCTCTTGTTGAAGTTTAGTATTTCTCTTGCTCTTTGATTGAAATAAATCATTGTTGGAACTAAGATTTCCTTGGCACATAATTCTATTAAATCAGTCAGTGCTCTGCTTGATACCACATGCTTTGTTGAACCAAAATGGAGGATTCTGTAGTTTGTTTGTTTTCAACTGATTTCATTTCTGGGTAAGTTAAATTTGAGTGATACCGAGAGTGTTAGGAAATCAATCATGTGTTACCCCAGATATTGAACTGTGATTTTGGCATGATTTTTGTACTAATTTCGGGGCTTTTTCACTGCTGTTTCACGGTGCGAAATCGGCTGTTTTTTTTTTACACAGTCATGGTGTGAAGGAGTTGAGATGCATTTGAATGAATACTAGCAGTTTTTTTTTATAAATTTGTGGCACGCATGTTCTGCAAGTTTTCTACTTACTACCTTCTTTTGGAAATTTAATAGATGCACAATTTAGGTGAATGAATATGCTATTTTCCAGTTGATTATGAGGAATCGGGTCAGTTGCATTATTAGTTTTGGTTGGAGCATGCAAACTAAGCTTATTCAGAAGCTTATATGTTAAAGTATTTCTTCTTCCTGCTGTTAACTTGGGCTCTTTCTTGGACTTAGTTTGGTTTGACATCGAAGCCCCAAGGATCTTATGATAGTGGAAAGTTGGGCCTCACGCTAGGCTTGGTTTTGATTTCAGTCATTAGCTTTTATTACATTCCGTTTGTTTGAACTTTAGTATGGTCTGGACCCTTTAGCACCTAGATAATTGAATCCTTTTCAATTGGAGGTGAGCTATAGTAGATAACAAATAGTCTATGGTCCTCCGAGTTCTTCTTGTAAGTTTAAACATCGTTTAAAATGGACTTGAGGTGCGCCGCGCCAAATAAAATGACAAATGCGTGGCCCTCGTATAATTATGCCTTTAATATAGTTAGAATTTGGGACGGTCCGCTTAGCGAATTTCACGACCCTCCCCAAAGATAATAACGCGTTAGTCTCTTTAGGCGCGTATTTTAATAATTTACCTTCTTAAACTCGGGTGCGCATTGATGTGACCCAAATCCAAATCTCGACGAAGTCAAAATGTGTTGACAACCACGGGTGCATTGATTGCGACGTGGTTCGAAACGCGTTTTCACGACGTCGCAATTCTTTTAGACTAAACAATGATGAAGAGCGGTTTACGAATAAAAGACACATAAGCTAGCAGGTATTAAAATCAGATAAAATCAAATACAATAGTTAAGCGACCGTGCTAGAACCACGGAACTCGGGAATGCCTAACACCCTCTCCCGGGTTAACAGAATTCCTTACTCGGATTTCTGGTTCGCAGACTGTAACAGAGTCATAAATTTCTTCGGTTCGGGGTTCAACCGGTGACTTGGGACACCATTAATCTCCCAAGTGGCAACTCTAAATAATTAATAATTAAATCCCGTTCCGATTGTCCTTTAATTGGAAAAACTCCTTTACGCCCTTTCCAGGGTGTAGGAAAAAAGAGGTGTGACAGCTCGAACACGAACAAATAGCGAGGGTCAAAAGGCCACTAGAGGGGAATTTAGTTGGAGTCCCCGAGCTGACAGGAGCCGAAGATACCCCATCTCGGGGTGGGAAGGCATCGGAAATGGATGTGGAGGCCAGTCCTGAGGCTCCTCGAAATATAGAGAGCGCCCCAAGTGACCCACTTAGGGAAATACAAATCGAAGACTCCCATTCGCTTCCTTTATTATCAGAAGAGGAAGTTCGGGAGGCTCGGGCCATGACGACCCCTCATGTAGAAGGCGCCCTCGGATGAGAAGACCTTTTTCGTGGTTATTTTACTAGGATCGAGGACATCACTGGCTCGAGTGACTTGGAGACATAGGGGAAGGATTCAGATGGAGCGAGTCTCTTCGATGAGGCACATCAGTTAAGGTAAGCTTTAATTCCCCTTGTGATTTCATATTTGTACTTTTTTCTCTTCTTATCTAATTTTTTTATCTGTGTGTAGGCTTTGGCACTTTATCAGGAGGCATTTTCAAATCTCGAGGAGAACTGAGCCGGTATGAGACCGATATTCAAGGGCTTACCGAGGAGAAGAGTGCCCTTGAACTCCTTATTGGGCGGAAAGAAGAAGAAATCAAAGGCGTCCGAGCTGAACTGGCCATGGCTCAAAAAGAACAGAGCGAGCTAACCGAGCAGGTAAATACAGTCTTAGAAGATCATGGCCTTAATTCGAGAGTGGTGGTTAATAATTTGATCTCACAGGTCCAGCAATTGTACGAGATGATCGGACAACTCCGTGGAGAGGTAGATGCAGTGAAGGCGGAAACCATAGCGTGGAAAAAAAATATGGACTGCCTAGCCTCATAGAAAGAGACTGCTCGAGCCCAGTTATCCTCGGCTTAAAATCAACTTCAAATCCTGAAAGAGAGGAACTTGGCACATGCCAAGGAAATTGAGGAGCTCCATGCTCGGTTGGCCATAGAGCTTGCCGTGGCAAAATCTAAGGGTGATACAACTAAGGCCGATGCTGTGGCAATCATGGTCGTCTACCGATCTGATGCCGAAACCGCTCAAGCTCGAGTGAAGGAAGTTGCTAATACTGATCAGACTCGAGCATACCGGATTGCCAAGGATGCCAAGTGCCAGTCTCGAAGAGAGACTCTTGAGGAGATCCACACCCGTGGCTTCGATCTTATTATAGAGATAAATTACAAAAGAACTTGAAGCCGAAGCCAGAGCATTGGTCTCTTCCGATGATGATGATTCTGAGAGCGTGAGTGGATCCGAGAGCGGAGAAGATCCCGATGACGAAGATGTTGCTCCCGAGGAAAATTAGGCAGATAGAACTTTTCTTTTTTGAATTTTTGTGTAGGATATTGATCGGTCGTTGTAAATATTTTCATATATATATAAAAGATCTCTTTTCTCTCTCACTTGTCTTTATTTCAATTTCTGTCTTGTGAAAATTTTGTATCGGCCATGCCTTGAAAACTTTCATAAGTACGAGGCTTGGGCAATTTGATCGAAGTCGGACAAGTGTAGTCTTTATAATCAAGTGAGTACTTGCTTGAACTCGAAGTAGGATGACCCTTAGGTTTTCGTTGAGTGAGGATGACTTCCCGAACTCAAAAAATGGAACGACCCTTAAGCGCTTGAATTTGGCCCATATGGCTTCAAAAGATTGTCTCTTTTCCCTTTTCGACTTACAAAAGTTAATCATATAAAATTTGTTATGCCTTAGCATGAAATAAGGTTGTTCGAGAGTTCGAACAATCCGGTACTCTTTTAGGATTTTCGAGGGTTGATGTTATCGAAACCCTGTATAATTTTGCCAGGGGTAGCCTTTTTAATAGGTTTTGTGAAGATATTAGAAGGCCTGTTTTTATTACGAAATTCAGACGTCTCTGAACCGTATTAGTTTGGCTATAGCCTTTAACTTGAGATTTGCCTCTTGGGCTTGTTTCTTAATTATACTTCAAATTTATTCGAAGTGTCAGTGCCTGAGCGAGGTGGCCATAGCCTATAAAAACGAGGGTTGCCTTTTTAAGGTCTTATGATATCGAGACTTAAAAAATATGATTACGTTGATTTTTCGGACGACAGTCCCCGAGCATAAATATGTTGTTTGAATTTCAGCTATGATTGGCCCTTAAGCTTGTTTCCACAATAGACCAAAATTATGAAATTGTAAAGTAAAATTTCTCTAAGGTATGAAATATTCGGCAAGGAAAAATACTTTTCTCAATAGATTATACATGCGTACATGTTTGCTTTAAAGGCTCGAGTAATCTACATGGGCACGGTTCGTTTGGCCGCTTGGCCTTTACAAAATTTAACCTATCAAGACCCAGTTGACACGAAGTATCTTCCTTGTAACAAAGTTGACATCCGAGGGTGATGCCTCTCAGTATTCGAGGTTAATTGTAAAGAAGCCTCGAATACTGTTGAATTTATCTAGGTTAGCATGAACAATGGTTGCCTCATTAAAAACCTGGCAGGAAAAATCCATTTGGGACAAAAATCGGTCTAAGGGAAAAAGAGTGCAACGCGTGCTTTCAGACCTAAGGACTTTGTGATGAAGAATCCTTCGATGTCTCCAATTGAACACCTGTAATTGGTTTGTATAAAATATAAATGAAAATGGAGAAGGTCACACCTTAACAGTACTATCGTTTGAGGAGTGATACGTTCCAATTGTTTGGTAATTACTCATCGTCTATTATGCTAAGTCTGTAGGATTCTTTTCCAAAGATATCGCGAACCTGATTCGGTCCCTCCTAAGTTGGGGCAAGTTTTCCATCGTTTGGTTCTCGAGTATTGAGGGTGACCTTTTAAAGTGTCGAAGATTGGCTCTTCGATTATAATACCTTTCGATCCGCTATTTTTGTGCGGCCATTCGGGAGGCTTCCCATCTTTTGTCTAGAATTTCGAGGCTCGTATTCATAGCATCGTGATTTGAATCTTCCATTGCATACTGAAACCTGAATCTAGGTTCCCCGACTTCGACCAGGATCAGAGCTTCGGCAACATAGACTAAAGAGAACGGTGTTGCCCCCGTACTGGATTTCGACGTTGTTTGATATGCCCAAAGGACCTCGTTCAATATTTCTCTCCATTTTCCTTTAGTATCGTTCAATCTTTTCTTTAGATTTTTTATGATGGTCTTGTTTGTTTATTCGACCTATCCGTTCCCACTAGGATGATACGACATCGACATGATCATTTTATTTTGTAGTCTTCGAGAAACTTTGTCACTTTGATACTGACGAATTGTTTTCCATTGTCATATACAATCTTGGTAGTCCCGAATCGGCATACAATATGGTCTCAGAGATGATGTCTATGACTTCTTTTTCTCTGACTTTTTTGAAGGCTTGTACTTTGACCCACTTAGAAAAATAATCAATCATAAACAAAATGAAGTTAGCTTTACATGGGCCAGATGGTAGAGGGCTGACGATATCCATTCCCCATTTCATGAACGCCCATGGGGATAGGACTAAGTGGAGTTTCTCTCCGGGTTGGTGAATCATCGGTGCATACCTTTGGCATTTGTCGCACTTTCGAACGAGTTCCTTTGTATCTTTTTCCATATTGGCCCAATAGTATCCTGCTCTGATGACTTTGTGAACTAATGACTCGGCACCAGAATGATTTCTGCAAGTGCCCTTGTGAATTTCCCGTAGAATGTAGTCGACTTCTCCTGGTCCCAAACATTTCGCCAATGGTCCATCGAACATTCTCTTGTATAGTGTTCCATCCTCGGCCAATGTGAACCATGCAGCCTTTGTGCGTAGAGTCCTCGATTCCTCAGGATCCGATGGAAGTTTCTCGTTCTTCAGGTATTCAATGTACTTATTCCTTTAATCCCAGGTTAGACTTGTGGAGTTTATTTCGGCATCCTTCTTCGATTACTGACCTCGAAAGTTGTACAACAGTCCCCGAGCTAAGTTCATCGTCTTCGATTGATGACCCCAAATTTTCAAGGGCATCAGCCTCTTTATTTTATTCTCGAGGTACGTGCTGCAGGGTCTATTCTTTAAATCGATGCAGAGACACCTATAGTTTATCCAAGTACCTCTGCATTCGATCTTTTCAAACCTCGAAAGTTCTGTTGACTTGATTTACCACGAGTTAAGAGTCACACTTGGCCTCGATGACCGCTGCTCCCAAGCTCTTATCTAGCTCAAGACCTGCAATCATGGCCTCATACTCGGCCTCATTGTTAGTTAAATTTGATGTTTTGATAGACTGTCTAATTGTACTACCTGTGGGTGGCTTCAAAACGATGCCTAGCCCTGACCCCTTCACGATCGAAGCGTCGTGTGTGAAGAGGGTCCACACCCTCGATGATGTACCTGATTTTAATTTTAGTTCCTTTTCGTCCTAGGGCTGGCATAAAGTCGGCCACGAAGTCTGCCAAGATTTGATACTTGATGGTCGTTCGAGGTTTATACTTGATATGGTACCCCCTGATCTCGACGACCAATTTGGCCAATCGACCCGAGAGTTCAGGCTTATGCAAAACATTGCGAAGGGGATAGATAGTCACCATTCAAATTGGGTGACGTTGAAAATATGGTTTTAATTTCCTAAAGGCGCTTATTAAAGCGAGCGCCAATATTTCTAAGTGTGGGTATGGGGTCTTGGTCTCACCTAGGGTACGACTAATATAGTAAACAGTAAATTGTGTACCTTACTCTTCTCGAACTAAGACCCCACTTACCCTATCTCCAAGACTGCTAAGTATAAGTAGAGTTGCCCATCCGCATTCGGGGTGTGAAGCAATGGCGGGTTCGACAGGTATCATTTGAGTTACTCTAAGGCTTGTTGACATTCCGGGGTCCATGCAAAATTGCTCTTCTTCTTAAACAGTGAGAATAACCGATGACTTCTATCCAAGGACCTCGAGATGAATCACCCTAGGGCGGCTATGCTCCCCATTAACCTCTATACATCCTTGATATTATCAACAACTATGATGTCTTCGATTGCCTTGATCTTATCGGGGTTGATTTTGATCCCCCGATTTGATACCATAAAGCCGAGAAACTTGCCCGAACCGACTCTAAATGCACATTTCTTCGGATTGAGCTTCATGTTGTATGTTTTTAGTATATCGAAGGTCTCATGCAAATGTTTTAAATGGCCCTTTGATCACAGGGACTTAACTAACATATCATCAATATAAACCTCTATTGATTTACCTATTTGTTCTTCAAACATTCGATTTACTACGCGTTGATAGGTAGCGCAGTGTTTTTTAGTCCAAACGGCATCACGTTATAACAGTAAGTACCGTACTTTGTAATGAACAAAGTCTTTTCTTGATCCTCGAAGCTCATTTGTATTTGATTGTACCCGGAGTAGGAGTCGAGAAAGCTAAATATCTTGTGGTCGGTCGTGGCATCGATCATGCGATCTATATTTGGCAAAGGAAAGGAATCTTTACTTGTTAGGGCATGCTTTGTTTAAATCCTTGTAGTTCACGCATATTCTAAGTTTATTTCCCTTTTTAGGGACTATAACTAAGTTTGTTAACCATTCGGGATATTTTTCCTCCCGAATGGATCCTATATTGAGAAGTTTTGTTTCCTTGTCTTTAATGAATGCATGTTTTACCTCGTACTAGGCCTTCTTTTTTGTTTTATCGGACGAAACTTCGGGTCCAAACTCAGTCGATGTGTAGTGATCTCCGGTGGGATCCTTGTTATATCTAGGCGGGACCAAGCAAAATAATTCATGTTATCTAAAAGGAATTGGACGAGTTTTTCCCTGAGCCCGGGGTTTAACCTCATGCCCATGTATACCTTTCGATCGGGCAGATGCTCGATCATATGATTTATTCTAGCTCTTAGACCGCTGACTTCGTTACATTAGAGTCATCGGGGATTATGAAGGTTCGAGGTATCATATAATCATCATCCTCGAAAGTTTCCTGCTCCCCCGATCAGGTCGAGGCCGGTGACTGTGGTTGCTATTTGACTTCTTG